AGTAGAACGTTCAGACCTACATGTCTTTCCTTTATTCAGTCAGGGCAAAAGTTCTATGTGGCAAATTAGAAAGAAAAAGGAGGAGGTAAATGTTATTTATGTGGAAAAGGCTGGAATAAGGTTGGAAGGGTCAAAAAATTGTCAGGAAACAGTGAATCAGTTGATGAATCAGTTTTTTAACTCCTCTCTCCACTCCCAAATATCTGTTAAGAGTAATAGCTAATCAGTAGTATGGGCTATAATTACCAACCTCACAGATCCTTTTAAGCAATTCTTAAGTCTGCAGAACTGTCAGCAAACTTAGCATATTTATTTGTGTACTATACTTTGCAATCTTACTGTGGATCGTTTTTCAAAAGAAGGACAGAAAAACAAATTTCAACAAACTTTTTGTAATATTTATGTAGCTGCAGAGATGCTTTGCTTCAGTTTGGCTTTACTTCAAAACTAGTATGTATGAAATTATTGACTTTCATTTTTTCAGGGCTGTAGGCATTCTTTTGATACACCTGAAATGTTTGCCCATTAAAAATAAGGGACTTGTAGGATGTTAGATGAAAGATGTGAGAAAGTCTAAAAGAAAGATTTGTTCCATGTAACAGGCTTTACATTGTGTCTCTGCAGGCATTTATAGTGGATAACTCCCTAGTAGGTATTTGAATAATTTAAGAAAACCAGTGTATGCAGGAAAATGTCATGGCCTTCTATTGTGGCAATAGTGGTATGTAATGAATTTCATGCTAATATAGTCAGTGCATAAATTGCATGTGCAGCTGAGATTTAGTAACAGTCAATGCATGAATTGCATGTGCAGCTGAGATTTAGTAATCTGAATGTATATTTCCAAGCTTAACTACATGTATTTAGAGGCTTTAGATGTTCTAGCAGAGTTTATTTACACCCTTGGAAATAAAGTCAATTAGAAAGAAGCATCTCTGAGGTGAAAAATAGGTGAACACTTAGCTTCTAAGCATTTTATGGATAAATATTGTTTGTTTGAAAGCTCTTCTCAGTTCAAGATTTTTTTGTTTCAGTTGTGGTTGAATTGACAGGCTGTGATCCTGCACTTACTGGAGAATGAAATGTTAATAGTGCTGTTCCTCCAGGCAGCAATTGACTGCACTGTTGTGGAGTGCTCTGTAACTAGTCTCCTGCTGTCTTCAACTCTTTAGCTGTGTTTTTAATCCAGAGTATCTGGAAAGAACAAAATGTTTGAGGTAATAATGATGGAATAAGGAAGCTGCAGCGCAGATAAATTATTTGGAAAATGATAATTCATTAGATGAAATTACTGAAATACTTAAAGTGGTCCTTAAATGACTCTTGGAACACTGGGGAAGGAGAATGGACAGGTTAGCGTACCCTCTGAAGCTTTCTTTCTTAAAGTCCAGCAATTGTTGGTCATCTTCAATTTATTGAAGGCTGCTAGATGGTCTCCCTGGAGCTTTCTCTTCTCCAGGCTGAACTACCCCAACTCTCTCAGCCTGTCTTCATAGAGGAGGTGCTGCAGCCATCTCTTCATTTTTGTCCACCTTCAGGTTCCTTAGATGGCCTCAAACCTGATCTCTTGCAATGGCTGGTTCTTCATTCTCCCAGTCTCTGCCTTTTCCTTCTGCAATTTGAACAGTGTGACTGGATAACTTGCTGGTGATGACTGAGGCAGAAAACGACAACTTGTTCCCAAGTGGAAATGTCAACAGGCCTATGTCAGTTAATAGACTATTACAGTTGAGAGTTGAGTATTAGCTTCATATATTTAGCATTTGTTGTGAAATTAACCTTTGTAAGCATTTTTTATTTCCAGAATGAAAGCTACTAAGTTGTTGCTTTTGCATCTGTGCCCGTTGTTCTTTGAAGTACTTCTTTCTTGTTGTTTCATCCCTAGTTATGCTGCAGTCCCTGGCTGTAGTCAATAGGGCATAGCTCTCGATTTTGTTGTGTTTGCAAATCCTCTCTTAGACCCTGAAGTGACAGAATGATGCAGATTACAGAGCTTGGGATAGTTGCTTAGTGAAGAAGGTTGCAGATCTGTCCAGCCATTTCCAGCATAAGTGGTGGGTTATTCCCCCTGTTGTAGCAGAGACAGAGTAAATGGCTTATCTTGCTCCGAGACTATTGCAGGTGTAAGGGAGACATTATGTGTCCATAAGGTATTGCTGAAACTGTTACAGCTTTCCCCCATTGTCTTTGAATAAAGCTAAATATTCTAGGGTGTCGTCCATAAGGTATTGCTGAAACTGTTATAGCTTTCCCCCATTGTCGTTGAATAAAGCTAAATATTCTAGGGTGTTCCTTCTCTCTCTCCCCACTGTTGTGTTTTTTGTTTCACCCTCATCACTATAGGAATGCACAAAGGTGGTGTTTTGGTTATTTTTCCAATAGTTGTTCTGCTTAACGGTGTTGTTGCTTTCTCAGTTCTGTGAAGATTTTTGGTGGAAATGCAAACCTTGCATAGTGTTTGTATTTATTTTTAAATGCTTTCTTTTTTTTCAGTTACCTTCTGCCAGGCATTGGTGCACAGGTTGAAAAGTACTGTCTTTGAAACCAATGCCCTCACCTCCAAAACAGCTGTATCAACAAAAATTTGTGCTGTACATAAGACCTTGTAGTTGATTTCATTAAGCATGTGAATATATAACTGGAGTTCGTAATTTCTAGTTAGCCAAAAGGCAGAAATTCATGTCTGGAATGTTTATTGATAATGCTGAAGTGTGCATTGCCTATGTAGGCACAGATGTTAGTCTCGTTTTATGCAGGCACATAAGTATTGGTATTGTTTCTGAAAAACTGTGCAAAACTGTAGCAAAAATTCTTGTGCTAATAGCCAAGTGTAGCAGTGTGGGGTGGTCAGGTGCTGGGTGGGTTTGGATGGTCTGTTGCTGAGGACTGTGGTGCTGTGCTGGCTCATGTTTCACTTGCATTACCCCAGCTGGTTTTGGTCTGTAGACATGTACTTATGCTGTGGTTGTATGGTGAATTTACTACAGGTGCAGTGTAGTACAAGGGGTTCTGGTTTCTGCTTGGTTTTGGTGCTTTTCTACTTCTTCCCAGTCAATGCTGATAACTCACAGGCTCAGTCCCTTATAAGCCTAATGTAGGGCTATAAATGAGTCATAAGTCAAAAATTATAAAAATAATTAGAAGGAATTATACAAGAAGCATCTGTTTATAGTATTTTTTATAGCAAGAGAGCCAGAGAGGGACTCTTTGTTAGGAGCTGCAGTGATAGGACAAGGGATAACAGGTTCAAGTTGAAGGAGGGAAAATTTAGGCTAGATATTAGGAAAAAGTTTTTTCCTGTGAGGGTGGTGAGGCACTGGCACAGGTTGCCCAGGGAAGCTGTGGATGCCCCAACCCTGGCAGTGTTCAAAGCCAGGCTGGATGAGGCCTTGAGCAACCTGATCTGGTGGGAGGTGTCCCTGCCCAGGGCAGGGGATTGAGACTAGATGATCTGTAAAGTCCATTCCAACCCCCAAAATTCTGTTTCTGTGATATAACTGTATACAGTGAAATATATACACTTCTCTGTCTCTTATTGAAAGATATATAAGAATAAAAAGCTTGAGACTTAACTAACAAGTGAAATCATATTTTTAGGACTGTTCTACAGAAAATGCAAGTTGATTTCTAAGACAGAAGTTACCCACGACACCAGGCTCTTCTGCTTAGTGTTGCCTATGGGCACACATCTCCGTGTTCCCATTGGACACCATGTTTACCTCAAACAGATTATTGCAGGTAAGAAAAATTGAGAATGTAGTTATGGATATATTAACATAATTCCTTCTCATAGTCTTGTGAGAATGCCAAGTCCATGGTCACTAATTCCTTGGTTGTATTTAGAAAGTCTCTGCTTCCAGGATCACAGTCAACGCCGAATAACGAACTGACTGGATTAATGTTGATGGAACACTAACTACTGAGATGGTTGTTCTTTCCTGTTGAGTTTATTGGTTCTTCTTTCAACTCTCTCTACTGAAGTAGTGCCATTTGTCTTTGAAGGAGGAAGCTCATTGTATATGTGTTGTGTATCGTTAGTCCATTCCTTTTAGTTTGAAACTTTTTTGAAATGAGGAGGGTAATCTTACAATTTTGCCCTTTTTTTTCCTCCTCCTGAGGGATTTAGAGTAGTCATGGTAACACTACTTTACACTCCAGTTGTGTGATATTAATGATCACTCGAGGTTACAAGAGGAATGTTTCTTGAAAAGCATATTTTTCTGCCATTCTTCAAAATTTCATAAAAGGTGAACTTCAAAAAGAAAAAGTAAAGTCAAAGAAATATCGGAGTTGTTTTTTTTAAGGGTACTTTTTAAAATATGTGTATTAATAGTTATGCTGGTCACTGTACTTGGATTAAGCTGTGCATGGTAGAGAGACTTTGCAGAAGAATTTTTACAAATCCATTAGTTGACAACTGTTTTCTCCTCGTCCTTACCTAATTCTTTGCTGATGTCCAACTCTTGCAATCTTCCTTTCTATCATTATACAACAGTTTTTTGAAATGCTACTGAAAGAAAATGTAATTGTGCAGTACTAAAAATCTGCTGGTTAAGTTCAGGAAAAATCAAGCTGTGGTACTTAAAAATTAATGCAAATGTTTAGATTTTTTTGCTATTTGGAGATGACTTTAGATATTTTCATCCAGTGTTATGAATTGCTAAGTAGGATAGAAATAACATAATGTACAGTGGCCTGAAGATTTTAACTGGAAGTAAAAGGCTTCCAATTCTGTAATAAGAACTGGTGCAGTGTAAAGTAATGTGCTTGATAAAAGCCTGTGATGGTGTTATTTTTATGGCTTATACAGGTTATTTATTTACCATTTTTTTATTCTGGTATTTCCTTGTAGTACCTGGATGTAAGTACTTTTCATGTTATTTCAGCAATCTTTTTGTCTTCTGTCTAGGGACAGAGGTAGTAAAACCATACACACCTGTATTGCCTTCTTTGCTGCCGAATTTCCAAGAACCATCTCACCATAACGGTGTGCATATTTATTTAATGATTAAAATTTATTCCTGTGGACTGTTCACACAGGCACTTGACCACCTACAAATTGGTAAGTATATGTAATGGGGTTTTTGTTTGTTTTTGCAGCAATTGCTTTATCTTTTCAAATCCATTGTCTTGACTGTTGTGATGTTCTTATTGTTTCCCTACTTACACACTGGGACATACTTAGAACATTTCTATACCTTATTCTCCATTCCCTAAATGTACAGGTTTATCTTCACTGCAATTAGGAGTTGTACATTAAAGCTCTCCTGACTGATTTATCAAATGTGTTCATGTTTGACTAGTCACATATGTGAACTGTATCACACATAGCTGATCACTTTGCTCTGTGAACAACAACTTGTACTTTCACATAAGGAAAGCTAAATCTGTTTTACTGGACTTAAGGTGCACTTCCTGTTCCATTTCAGATATGAAGGCAGATTTTTAACACTGACTTTACAAGTGTTTATGTAGTCATTTAGTGTAAAATTCATCAAGACAAAACATTTTAATTGTACATTTCTTCTTTTAACAAGAGTTACCCTTATGTGAAATGTGTAGTATCTTTCTGAAAGGAACCCTAATACTACAAAGATGAAAGCAATATGAAATAGCCTTTAAAAAATCAGAATGCTCATTAACTCATTTTCATCTCATTAATGTTTGCTATTTTTCTTTTTTTTTTTTTAATGAAGGAGACTACATATCTGTCAGCAATCCTGAAGGCAGCTTCAAGAAGTCACAAGTTCAAACTTCAGAAGATCTCTTTTTACTGGCAGGAGGCACAGGCTTCACACCAATGGTTAAGCTGCTGAATTCAGCTCTGACTGAAGTGAGTTGTCTCAGGTGTGTATGCTCTGTATGATTTAATCCCAAACTAGAGTAATCCATAGAAGAATGAAACGTAATGGGCAAACCTCAGTGTTGGTAAAACAGTTAACAAAAAAAATGGTATGGAAGCATTTTTCTTCAAACTCATGCCAAAAGTTGGTATGCTTTAGAGAAGAGTCTGACAGAAGTTTAGCAATTTGCACATACTTTGTTATTGGCTACCATCAACATAATTGACTGATTTACATTTTGGATTTTAGATGTACAAACGAGCTCACTGAGTAGAAACTTTGAGTTGTTTTTTTTTTAATTAGCTTTACATTTGGCTGAGTAGAAACTTTGAGGAGTTTTTTTTTTAATTAGCTTTACATTTGAGTGTCTTTTTATTTCTTTAGTCTTCAAATATTTCAATGTAGATATTGGTTTTTGGACTGAGGAGGGCTGCAACTTTTTAGTTATAGCTTCTCTCTAATCTACTAGAATAGTGAGTGTGTTGTTTTCACCTGCTAAGCAACAGTAACACATTGTTACCAGATGAATTCCAGTTTTCAAAAAAGGTGCCACTTATGTAAGAGCATTAACTACATTCAGGTGCATTTAAAAGTGTGTATTGCGTATGCATTCTGTACCCTGCTTGTGAAAGCTCGAGAAGAAAGCATTACTTGTTCCTGGTCAGGGGAACAAGTTGTTATGTCCCTCAGAACCCCAGAAATAATAGTTTTGACATGATTATCCATTTAAAGCTGAGAGAATGCAATAGCTCAGCTTCAAAAGGAAATAGAGTTACTGTAGTGGCATACTTTGGTAGAGGTGAGGTGTGTTTTCATTCCTTTTAGCAAAAAATCTTCCTCTAGAGTCACATCGTACAGAATTTTGTAGATTACATTTTTGTCGATATGAACTATTATAATTTGGGGGAGTATAGAGATGAAAGATATACCCAAACTGTTTTCTATTTATAGCAGAGTCCAATTCAGCAGACTTGTTACTGTTTTCCTAGACATTTGAATTTGGACTCCTGTGTTGGTGACTAACTTCTGAGTTTTATTCAAAGCAAGGACAAAATGTTTTGGTTAACTGTGTCTTTCTGAAGCACATTTTGAAACAGCATGGAGAGATTAATTGGACATTAATCTTCATGCTAAAGCTGAAAAGGGTGACATGTACTGTAGAAGTTTGTTTCTAAAAAAAACACAAAACAAGCCTAAACCCAGATATTATTCCTATATTGTTTATATTTCAGCAATTACATATAGTCCTGCTAAGTGAGCAGAGAGGTTGTGTCCTGTTTGGCTCTTCCAAAGTATCATCAGTAGCAAGTAACAAGTGACTGGTTGGCTTTGCAAGTCCAAAGAATAAATCTGCCATCAGACAAAATGCTTGGGAAGCATGTTCTAAACTCTTCAGCATGATTTCTTATGGGAACTCAGTGTTGGTTTGGGATGCAGCAGCATCTGGTTCCTTACCATTCAAAGTAAATGAATTTTTCCTTCTTGCTGTGGAGACTGGTTAGGTGCTGGAATGACTCAGTCTGGTACAAGTTCTGTTTATATGCAGACACCTAAACCTGTTTTCCTGACTGTTCTAGGCAACTTTATATTTGATCTTTAACCCTCACTTTCTCTTTTGGGAAAATACTGCAAGAGTGTCTTTAAAATATGTATGCTTATATATCTGAGATACATGTGTATCTGATGTGTATAAATACATGTTTATATATTTATGTACATGAGATTGTGTGTGTATATATAAGCAATATAAATGTAATTTGCATAGAATTGTTTTGCTTTGGAAGGTCTTTTAACATAGTCTTTTAAACTTGAAGTTGAAGAACAGCTGGAGATGATGAACTCTCCTCAGAAGCCCTAGGATGTATGAAAGATGTGTGAAAACATGAGTGAAAATAGCTCACTGCAAGGTACAGAGCAGAAGGTGATGGGAATTAATAGTTTCTGTGCAGCGTCACAGAAACATACTGTGTCTAGCTCTAGTCTCTTAGGAGCAAGGCTGGCCACAAGTATATGGGACACTGGGTATTTGAGTGCTGTGTCACAGAGCTGGAATTGCAGGGCTGTGTGAGACCAGCAGGCTTAGCTGGCAGAACCTCTGTGGTTCTGCATGTGTTTCTGTGACAGATATCCCAGTTCTCTGGCTTCCTGCATGTAGGGCACTGAACTTACTGCTACTGGCATCACAGCAACGTGTTCTCTTCATGCAGAGTGGGAAAAAAAAGTCACTTAAAGCCCTGTGGGGTGAGTTCAGGCACTGTTTGCATTTAACAGTACATCATCTGTCTCATATCACTTGTCCCCAGGGTACTAGTCCATCATTAGCAATAAAGGAAAAGTTAGGTTTGTGTGGCATCATTAGGTGGTAATTATAAAGTCAAACTGTGTTTTGCCTCCACTGTAGCATAAAAGTCTGAACAGCTAATGGCACTGACCTTAATGACAGAACATATTTTTTTTTTATATGAGCTATCTGGCAAACATGAGGCTAGTAAACAGTAGCTTTCCAGGGAAATAGTTTTTCTAAATTGACAGATAAAGGAGGGATAAGATGACCTGGTACAGAGCTGTAGTTCACTCTTCAAGTTAGGAGTTAATTTTCTCTGTCTGTAAAGATTTCATTAATTTCAGTCTCTCCTGTACTAACTTGTGTACAATATTAAAAAGATGTACAGACTTCATATACAAGTTATTAATTGTAGTGCTCAAACAATATTGAGAAACCACTGGGTAAAATTAGACAAACTAAACCACGTTGTAATTTGAGTCAGGTCACAGTAACTTCAAGAGACTTTTCTTAGGACAGCAGTTCCTGAATTAGAGGTTGCAACTGCAGAGAGGGCTATGATGTTTAGAAGAAAGGTCACAAATCCAACAGATTCAGGTGCAGCAAGAAAGAAACTATATTGGGTTAGTGGCAAAAAGATTTGAGGATTGCAGAATTGAAAAAATCCAAAAAAAGTAAGTAAAAGGTTTCTGTATAATGCAATAAGTTAAAATTCTTTAAAGTGTTTCAAACACAAAAACAATCTGCAGTTCATTTTTATTTTATTCTTTTTTTTAAGGACAGTGAAGCTGATCTTCTTCAACAAAACAGAAGATGACATACTTTGGAGAAACCAGTTAGAGCAATTAGCCCTTAAAGATGAAAGGTATTTAAAAGTCCTGGGGAGAAAAATTTGTACCATCTCAGTGTATAGGAGAATAAGTCTTGGGGCTGAGACTAACTGTACAGCTTTGTCTGATTCTGGAAATTCTTAGCTAAGAATATAATGAGACTGGAAGGAGATGTATTGGTCACAGATGCATAGCAGCAGGGTATGTCACGTTCAGGGATTTGATTTGACAGATGTTTATTGGAGACAATTTGTTAATGAGGTGACTTTTTAAGACTGAGAAACTTCTTGAATGTAAAGAAAATTTGCCTTAGCCTTTACAGATATTCAAAGAGAAGCACAGGAGTGATAGAGAAGGATAATGCACCTCAGGAGCAACATTCTGAATTGAGAGAAGTCTTTGAAAATCTTTTTGGTTGGGAAAATGTTTATCTAGAAATTCAAAGTTTAAATTAGACTTGTTAGTTTCATTTTTCTCTACTAATTGTTGCATTTTTCCCTCAATTGCAGTGTAATTCTGGATTAAAAGCATAGAATCATTGAATTTAAGGGTTGGAATGGACCTTATAGATCATCTAGTCTCAATCCCCTGCCCTGGGCAGGGACACCTCCTCACTAGATCAGGTTGCTCAAGTCCCACCCAGCCTGGCCTTGAACACTGCCAGGGCTGGGGCAGCTACCCTGGGCAACCTGTGTCAGTGTCTCACCACCCTTACAGTAAAAAATTTTTTTCTCACATCCAACCTAGACTTTCCCTTCTTCAGTTTGAACCCATTACCCCTTGTCCTGTCATTGCAGTTCAAATGCCCTAGTGCACATGTAATGTCAACATAGTTTAACAGGATTATAAAGTTACCTCTAAATTTTGGTTCCTTTGCCGTCATCACTAGATAAACTTTCTCTGCTTAGATTTTACGTGATAGAAGTAAGTTTTGTTTATGCTTAGTTAATTCTGAGTTGAATTGTTCTTTAGTTGAAATCACTTGTTCCTTCACAACCTTGAGGTGAAAAATCAATGCCATTTCATAACCTGGTGATGTCTGGCACATTCAGAGCTTCATAGGCTAGATGTTGTGCAAATTTACAATAAAAACCCTTTCTCCATTTCAACAGAAGCCTCAGATACACGAGTACCTGCTTTTTACTCAATAAGTATTCTGTTAGTGAGTTTTTAAAGCCAGCTGTAGTATTTGCTCATCAATGAAAATGAACTGACATTTTCACAGGTTTGGTTAAGCATTCTTATTTCACTGTTTGTGTATCAAGCCACACCAATATTTGTATAAGTGAGTAACAGAGCAGCAAAATCTGTGCTTTAGTGTCCTGATTGGTCCCAGCTGTTTTTCTTTGCAAGGTGAAATACACAGCTAGAATTTCTAACATTTAAAGATAGGGTTAAATAATTAAATGCACAATACTGGAGGTGGTTTGACTGACTTGATTGGTAGAAACAACTAAATATCTGTGAGATCTTATACTGTGCAGTGAGGAGCTGGGCAGGACAGGAAGGTAATCATGGGAAACATCAGTGTCTCAGTCAGTAGCACTTGGTGTAGAAGGTTACTAATCAGAGGCAATACTAATGAAATATTCTTCTGTTTCCCAGGTTTGAGGTTCAGTTCATTCTTTCACAACCAACAAAGGACTGGGTGGGTAAGCAGGGAAGGATTTCTTCATCTCTTCTCTCTGAGTTTGTGAAAAGAAGCAGAAAAGCCTCCAAAATGCTTATCTGCATCTGTGGTCCAACACCTTTTACAGAACAAGGCGTACAGTGAGTATTCTAAATGCACTAGTGAGCAAGAAATTCTGTTCCTGACTTGGTGGTAGTCTCAAAAATGGCCTTATGCAAAAAAAAAGGAATTTAGAAAAACCACTAAGTGTCATTCTTGAGGAGTATATTTATATTTAGTGTATAGCTAAGTGATTATCAGCACTCTGTAAGTTTTATGAGTTCTAGTAAGTTGTCCAAAACTTTCTGAGAGCATCTCTTTAACAGTGACCTATTTTCACCAAGGTTTTAAATTCTGCTTTTAATTTGATGTTCATAGAAAAGTTGCAACAATGGGAAATAAGCTTTCTGTGTTGGTGTTAGCTTGACAAGTGAAGTCATAGAAGTAAAGTTCAAAGCAGTTGTTTATTCACAAACTTTTCTCTTGATTTTTTTTTAATTAATGCATTTATTTATGTCTGTACCTAATACTTTTCCTATTTAAATACATGGCATATAAAAGATAAAAGGTCCCCTAACTTTCAGTTTCAAAATATCGAAGCAATACGACATCACTTGCATTTCTGCAGTCCCATAGAAATCGGGCATAGGGATCTAATGGGGGATGGAATTGGCCAATAATTATGCTGCCTCTTGAGAAATCTGAGATAATTTGAGTTATGTCTGTATTTATTTTTAGAAATTGTTTTCAGTATCTTAAAAGCTCCTGGGCATTAGTTGTTTTCTAAATGTATTTGCAGGGGTAAACTTGATTGTGCATGTCTGAATGAAAACAAGATAGTGACACTGAAGTTATACTTTAGCTGCGTCTCTGGTGGGTTTTGAGTTCCAGATATGAATATTACCAACTTGATTTCTGATTTTCAGGTATCTGAAGGATCTTGGATACTCCCAAGAAGAGATACATGCTTTTACTGCATAAATTCTTATGAGGATATCAATGTTTGTTTGTATAATTCAATCTTATTTATTTACGTTCATGAATTTAAATAAGCGAGAAGCAATTTTGTAAGACTTGAAACTTCACTCTTGGTACCAAACTGTTTCTCAGAAGAAGTGAATCTTTGAGAAAAATTTTATACTGTGTTTTATCTTCTTTTTGTAAATATTTTTGCTAATACTTAAGTCATCCGATATATTAATTTATTGTAGAGCCAAGCAAAAAAGTACAGTATACATTGTGTAAGATACTTCGTGTTTCTGGTTGATGAGAATCTTTCAATTTATGACAAGTGCTGATGTAGGTTTTGACTTGGTAGAGCTTATTGTTTCTTACTGTAAAAAGTCTTAAGAGCAATACTGTCTGAGATTAAATATTGCACTGTAACTCAGGTAATCGGTCATTGAGAACATGTTCTTTTTCATCTGATGTCTCTATTTGACTTGCAAGTGATCCAGATACATTTTTGGCTTTGTACACAAAGAATAAAACTACCTTTGGTAAAATATAAAATTTACATCAAATAATAAAAAATAATAATTTTACATTACTTCATGCATTTCTGTGATCTTTTTTTTTTTGTATTCTCAGTTTATAATGTCAAACAGAAAAGTTTTCACAAGCTTAGGACACCAGCTGAGAACTCAGAGACAGAGTCTTGGTCTCCCGTAAAACATCCTGTGTGACCTCACTGATATCAGGCATCCCTCCTTGTCATGAGACATTCTGAAGGTAAAAACATGACAGCTTATAGCTTGCAGATACCAGGGTCAGGACCTAAAATTATTTGACAGGTTGCAGTAGTATTAAATGAGGTTATTTAAGTCAGTGGAGTTTTTTACTCCATTATTGTGTTATCATGAGACTCTGTAATCTGTGACACTGGTGAAGGGTCTAGAGAGTAAGTCCTATGAGGATTAATTGAGGGAGCTGGGCATGTTTAGCCTGGAGAAGAGGTGGCTTAGGGGAGATCTTGCTTTCTACAACTACCTGAAAAGAGATTGTAGCCAGGTGGGAGTTGATCTCCTTTGCAACTAGTGAGAGTACAAGAGGACATAGTTAATTGAGGGAGCTGGGCATGTTTAGCCTGGAGAAGAGGTGGCTTAGGGGAGATCTTGCTTTCTACAACTACCTGAAAAGAGATTGTAGCCAGGTGGGAGTTGATCTCCTTTGCAACTAGTGAGAGTACAAGAGGACATAGCTTCAAACTGCACCAGTGGAGGTTCAGGTTGGACATCAGGAGAAATTTCTTCATGGAAAGGATTGTCAACCATTGGG